CAACATGGAATGACAAACATCGTAACAATAATGAACTGCATGAAAGAAAGAAATATGCAGTGTCTGCACGCTGTCGTAAACCTGTGGGGGAGATACAGGTTCAACCAAACCTACAACTAGAGAGAGAGAGAGACTAGTCTGGCCCTATACTCCGACAGAGAACACCGGTGAACACGAATATGGTACACAGTAGTCAACCCGAGGGTTGTTCAAACTGAAGGGGAGGGAGAGGGATGTACAAGGTGAGGGATGTACAGGTTGAGCAATCTATGTGTAGACACACCCACACAGGTTGTTTGTACAACAACTGTAATGCCATGTGCTATGCATGTGTGGCATCATCCCTGATGTCTGACGTGGTCTGTCGTGCTGTGTGGCGGTGTGTGTGTGTGGTGCCGTGGCCGAGCACTAACTATTGCGTCCCCTGTTGACAAGCTGGGGCGCAAAGTCTCTCCCCAAGCTGTGGCCACTGCGCCATGCAGGAGGCAGCTCAGGTTCAGTCCCCATGTCAGCGATGTTGCTAGCACAGCCTCTCTGTTCACCAGAACAAACCATCCCTTGCCGACACGTGACCATTTTTTCCCCTTGTTGCAGGATTGCATTATGATGGTCACTGCAGCATACTGCATTGCGCCATCAAGTGTCGCCCCCTTGAACACCACACGCAGCACGTTATGCGGATCGGGAAATACTCGTGCCAACCTGAGGATTGCATGTGCCCAACCTTTGGTTACTTGTCCACAGGCCGTCTTGAGATCGTAGTACACATCATTGTCGTCGTCCTCTTCGTCGTTGCTGACGTCGCTGCCGCTCACCTCCACGTCAGACCCCTCGTACTCTTCCTCATCCTCCTCCTCTGCATCATCTCTGTTCTCTGCATCGTCTCTGCGCTCTGCCAACTATTGTTCCCCTAAGAAGAAACCCTCACACATGTCCATATACACCAAGTCCTGTGTCGTTGATGTGTGCATGGTATACACGTCGACCAACATCGTCCCACTCGTATCTTGTGCTACTGATGTCTCCCCGGTTTCTTCAATGACCGGTAACCTTGTTTCGCTGGCAATCAGCCTCCAACCCTCTTCCCTTTCTCTCTGTCTCTCGACATCGCAGGTTGCAAGACCAAGCCGCTCCAGAGCACAACCCAACAAGCCGCCCCACAATGGTCTGCCACTAATGATCTCCTCTCCTGCTAACGCTGGCACAAAATCAATGAGATTTCGACCCTGCACGGCGTACTCTGTGACTTCGTGCAAGGCCTCATGAATGACGTTCCTGTCGTCCTCTGTCTTGTTCATGAGGTCACATAGCTGATGAAGCAGAACGTATTCCACACCGTCTGCAACAATCACGGGAAGCTCTTGAAAGTCCTGGGGCGGTGTTTGTGTTATGTCCTTGATTCTGGACAGCACTAGTATTTCTGCAGCACCCCTTTTCAACTCGTCGTTCGCCCCTTCAACAAGCATGTCCCATCCCTTCGCCACACTCACCATAAACTTCCTGAAAGCCACAGGTGTATAGGTCCCCCCTTTCTGCTGCATTGTCATGTCGACAAGTTCTTCGTCGCACATGCCTTCGCTGCACATCCACTGCACAACTCCTTTTAGACTGTATGGGTTGTCTTCCGCATCGCTGTCCACACGAACATCAAATGACTCTCTCAATCGTTCCAAGAGTGTTCGTGCCTGCACACAACCACTGCCGTTGGCCATGATCGTGGATCTCATATCCACGCTAACAGCAAAGTACCCCGGCACCCTCTCCTCCAACAAAGACAGCTCGCCACGGCCGTTGTAGTGGAAGCCCTCCTCTGCATACTTCATCACCTCTGTGAGAGCCTTCGCCACCTGTGCTACCGACATCGACATGATGCACAAGCTTTGTCTTTCGACCTCTTCTCTCTGCCAGCGGAAACGCACAAAAACGTCATCGACATGTCTGTGTGTGTGTGTGTGCGTGCGTGTGTGTGTGTGTGTGTGTGTGTGTGTGTGCGCGTGTGTGTCTCGGCCTCTCTGCCGAGGTTGGCTACTGCGAGCCATTCACTGTTGCAAGGGTTATCGTTCGGCAGATTCTGGCACGCAGTAGCCAACTTCAGGGCGGCGTCCAACAACGTGTGTGTGTGTGTGTGTGTGTGTGTGTGTGTGCGTGTGTGTGTGATTGTGTGTGTGTCAACACATAAGATAGGGGCAACAACTGGAGTGCGAGGGTATGGCAGGCGAGAGGTGTGTGATGAGATTCGCAGAATTCTGAACACTCACCGCTACTTCATGAGCTCAATCGACCTTGGTGATTACCTGTCGGTAGAGACTGTCACCACCTGCTGGACAGGTCCATTTCGGGAGCCATGTGTGGGAGCACGTCATCCATACAGACAGACAGACAGACTGTCTGTTCAACAGACAGAAAGACCNTCATCCATACAGACAGACAGACAGACTGTCTGTTCAACAGACAGAAAGACCGACAGTCTAACACAGGGACACACATCCAGACAGACCTACAGAGAGACAGACTGACAGACAGACTGATTGACACACTGATAGACACACAGACAGACTGACAGACTGACTGATTGACACACTGAAAGACAGACAGACTAACTGACAGACACACGAACAGACAGACTGACAGTCAGACTAACAGACAGACAAACAGACAGACAAACAGATAGACAGACAGACAGGAACACAGACAGACTGACAGACAGACAAACAGAATTACAGACAAATAGGACCCTGTGAACAGACAGACAAATAGTCAGACAGACAGACAGACAGACAGACATACAGACATACTGACCGACCGACAGACAGATCAGGGGGACAATGAAAATACACACAACTGCCATCACGTTCAAGTTCGGAGACCACTAGGGGGACGATCATCCCCGCACCAGAAAAATAAAGCAAGAAAGAAACAGAGGAAGAAGGCAAAAATGATATTAAAAAAAAAAAAACAAAAAAAAAATGCCTTACACCACGAAGACTAATCAACCCGCCTAACACCACGAAAATTTGTCCTCTCTCTCTCTCTCTCTCTCTCTCTCTCTCTCTCTCTCTCTCTTTGTGCACCTAATCAACCCGCCTCACACCACGAAGACTAAGCATGACAGACAGAGACAAGACAAGCGTTCTGGAAGCACACACACACTGTCTCTCATGCAGCCTTCTTTCTTGCGCCACCCCCCCTACGATTCGGTGCCGGTGGCTTTCTCTTCTTCGCGCCTGCTCCCCGGCCTTCCCTCTCAGCCTGTCTGACATCCATCCGTCGCTGTCTGTCCTCAGCTCGAGCCCTCTCGTCCAATATCCCCTGATATTTCTCCACCCAACGAGGCTTCGTCAACCTATCCACCAGCCTCATATCCCTCACCTGGATGGTCACCCTCTTCGAGTGGATCGCCACTTCGTTTGTGTTCTCGAAGTTGGCGACCACGTAAGCGTCCTCAACCTCCATCAAAACACGCACAACCGTCATCTGGAACCTCAGGCCCTTATTAGCGGTAATGTCCTTCTCCACCACCTCGTGGACGACGCGCAAGAAGGGTCTGAAAGGGATACAAAGGTCGGTGGATCGTTGCAGCTTCCTGATCTCTGTCAAAGCTGCCATCCCGGGGTGTCTGCGGCGTCTGTGGACCCGTGCAGGCGCATCTGCATTGTTACCGGTCTGTGGCACAGGCTGGGGGTTCTTCTTTTGCTTGTCACCAGTCGTCTTCCCCCTCCGCGGCCTCGACACAACCGCCTTCACCTTCCTCGGGCTGTGGGACATCGCTGTCTTGCTGGGCCCGGCCATGTCACCCTGCGCTGCAGAGCACCCTGCAACTCGCTCACCGCCACATGGGCCCTCCACCTCAGCAGACAAACCATCCTGATGTCCCGGGCGCGTCTCCTCCGTCTGTCCCGGCCTCCGATGTCCACCTCGGGTGTCCTCGACCACCATATACCGAATGTCTCGCAGGAGGCCATCCGAGTACGACAGCAGAAACGGCACACCAAGCGGGTCCCTGCACCTCATCATCATCTCTCCACCTTGCTCGTATGTCATGCGACATACGGCCGGGACCCAACCAACAAGGGCGGAGCAACCATGCCTGCGGCGGATG